TCAGAGTTTTACATTTATGCCTCTTTTCAGAGCTCAGTGAGGAAAAATAAACTCTTCGGTATATTTTTGCAGGTTTGGTGCCTGATATTATTTCACTCAGGCTTTTGGCTTCGACTTTTACTTCCACTTAAGTCATTATTTCATCGACGTGCCTCGGTACACTCGTAAAAATAAAAGTCCCTGTTTTTTTTTGCTTGGATGTGTGGTACAAAGTTTTAATCCATATAGATCTTTTGTGTCATGTGGAGGTAGCAATAGGCAGTATGACTGTATTTATTTATTTAATTATATTATGTATTGTGAAAATGTCTTAAAGCATTGTCGTTCTATTTTTGCGAAAACTCTCACACATCTTATTCAGGAACCTAGTTCTTTCAAGAATCATCACCTCTGGCACCTTTAAAGGGCCCATATCATGGACAATTGACTTTACCTCACTTTTTTAAAGAGCATGAATTAATGTGTAAAAGTTTCAAAATGTACCTTTCACTCCCCAGTTGAGTCTATATATGGAAACTTTTCATATCTTTTGAATTCAGTACTTTTGTAATGTCACAAGAACTCATTTACAGCCTATTCAGCCTAGCTGTTCATTCGTCTTGAAGCTCTAAGGAGTGTTTTAGCTCCGAGTGCTTTATGAATGAGGCATAACACGGAACAGCCAATCAGAACAGAGGAACAGAGCTCATTTACATATTTCGGTCTTAAAATCACAGTCTGACAAAATCAGGCTGTTTAAGTCTAAGGGATGAGGAACAGCTGGAAAATGGACACACCAAAATGAATTATGACCATTTTTGGTACATAAACCCAGTCAAGTGTTTTACATGGATGTCAAAGGAAAAAAAAGAAAAATACAAACAAATGTAAGATTTGGGCTGTTTGGTTCTTATCTCACATCCTTACAGAGCTGAGTAAGGAAAAATACACTCAGGTATATTTTGTAGGTTTTGTATGTTGCTCAGGTGTTTGGCTTTACTTTTACCGCTATTTGAGTGATTATTTCATTGCTGTACCTACACTGTAAATAGTGGCTCGTCAGATCTACTTAAAAAATTGACTTCATGTAGTAACAAGTAGTTGAACTGGTTTTATTCAACTCAGAAAATTACTTTGGAATAATCATTTATTCAAATTATTTATTTAGGTTGAATGAAAACAGTTAATTTACTTGTTACCACATGAAGTAGATCTGATGACCCCCTTTATACAGTGTAGGTGCTCTTTTAAAATAATAAGTTCCCATATGGTTAATGGAGTGGATGTAAAGTTCTAGGATAAAGAACGGGCCAAAGTTGTCCTGAGTGGACAGAAAGTTATCCTATCCCACTCCTCATCCAATGAGAGATCATGTATTTATATCTTTTAAAGGAAGGAAATGGAGAAATATTTTTTCCAAGTAGTTTTGGACCATTTCTATTGGTCCGTTCATCATAAAATACTGACATGACATAAAGGGCAACTGCCTTTTTTAATTTGTGTCAAAAAATGAAAAACGACATAAAAAGGAGATAAGAGGTTTTGTCCCTGACAGCACTGCTATACTATTTTTTACTTTAACTTCTTATAAATCATTACCTAAATGTGAATTTCCATGTACAGTGCAAAAGTCAGAGACCACCCTTCATTTATTTAATGTTCTCTCAATTAGGCACAAGTACGAGTTAAGCACAAGTTCTTCTTATTTATTCAAAGCAGAAAACATATTTGACTGAAAATTACACAACTAAATGTGATACCATAGTTTTCAGTGTTCAGTGAGTCGCTCTTTACCTTTATTACAGCCTCCATTCTTTTCAGGAGACTCACTTTCAGTTTCTCTAAGAAATCTGCAGACACACCTCCAAAGTTCAGTCTTAGAAGCTGGTTGATCATTTTCTGAAGTAATCAAACACATTCAGTGATGTTGAGGTCTGGACTCTGGGGTGGTCAGTCTATTGTTCAGCTTCTTTGTTTGATGTGTCCGTCTCCTTTTCTCAGTGAGGTTCTTCTTGAGAGCTACACATCCTTTCAGTCCCACAGCGCTGAGTCGTCTTCTCACAGTGGAAGGATAGACAGAAACACCTGTGGATGTTTTCAGATCTGAAGCAGCTTGATTTTCTCCTCTCTCTCAGAGATGAAAGCTTTAAGTGCTGTTTATCTGATGGGGGCAGTTTTGGTATCTACCAGGTCTTCCAGGTGGTTGTTAGGAGTCTCATTTTCTCTGTAGCTTTTAATCAGTTTCTGAACTCCAGTTTTCAAAGCTCTTAGGACTTTCTCCTTCCTTAATTAAGTGGACTGTCTAATATCTAATCTTCTCAGAAACATGTACTGAAACCTGAATAACTTGTGCTTGATGGACATTAAGTAAACGAAGCATGGTCATCTGCACAGTACTGTGTAATCATAAAGTGATCAGAAGTGCTTCTTCTATGGCCTCACTTTAAAGATCCATTTGTGGCAGCTTTATGTTTGAGCATGTGGTTTAAATAAAGTAATAAAACAGTAATTGCTCCTTTATTACAGTGTTGTAACAACACTTTTATTTCAGCAAAGACTTCACATTTTTTATGTCTTTTTGGGCTCAGTGAGGCAAAATAAACTCTGAAGTATATTTTTACAGTCACTGAGAACTGCTAACGTGCTTTGACTGAGCGCTGCTATTTCTGGTTATGGGACAATGCCAGTGTGCTGGACGGTCTGGTATGATGCAGAGGTGTCAGTGAGATGATGACAGTGATGAATTGAGACCCATGACCAGAGCAGCGCGTGTGAGAACAGCTCTGCGTGCGTTAAATGACTTGAATATTTGAAATACCTCGCTTAAAAAATAAATAAGTGGACTGAGAATGGTCCAGTCTATACAGTCCAGTCTCTCAGACTTTCTGTGTAAGGCTGTAGGTGGACAGTGATGGGAAAGTGTTTTTCTCCTTCAGACAGCGCTCAGTCGGCAAGGCAATAAAGGAGAATATTTTGGGTTGACAGATTGATGCATTCCGTTGCCGTCGGTAACGCACATACACACATACAGAGGTGGAAGGAAGAGGTCCCATTTATTCACTTCAGTGTTCTTAAGCATGTGGAACCAGTTACAGCAACTTTTTAATAGATTTTTACTTTTTCAATTGATAAAAATTTTACTGCCCAACACTTTACAGGTCTTATCAAAGAAGGATCTATACAGTCCCAAAAAGTTTGATTTTAACAATAGTGGAAACCTGTTTGGTGCCATATTGAACCATTTTTGAAAAGGTTCTTTAAGGAATTGTGCAATAGGTTTTTTGTCAGGGAAAAGAACCATTAAACCAGGCAAAGAACCATACACTGTCATGTGCAAAAGTTTGGGCACCCCTGCTCTAGTTCTGCATTTTGTTAAAGTGAACATTAGTACACATCCTCTAAAGAGAACACACTTCTACACACTTTAGTACATGATACCTGTCCATTTGCTGAATTTAACATATTAAAATAAATAAATGAAACAGACAAAGTGGCCTGTGCAAAAGTTGTGGCACCTTTTATGTTGTAAGCTCCTTGGACAAAAAATTTGTCACCTTACATGTTTGAGGTGGCAGTAACTTCAGGCTTCTGCACATGGTGTTTCCTGAGGACGATCAGGCTATAAATACCTGCAGTGTGTGTGACAGGATTCATAGATTGAGAAAAGCTGGTACAGTGCAGGGAATGTCTTGTTCGATGTGTGGAAAATGGGTCACAAAGCAGATGTTAATGATTGGCAAAAAGGAGAGATTGCATTTGGGCATGAAAAAGGCCACAGTGTGAAGGAAGTAGCTATATTTGCAGGTGTGTCGAAGCGTATGGTCATACAGGTCGATCAGCAGTGGCAAAAATCCCAGTCTACAGGAAATTCTCGTCAGAATTGTGGCCGAAAGACAAAACTGATGGACAGGGATCAAGCAAGGTGACTAATGTTTTGTATGGGGAGCTTATGGTTTATTTTTTCCCAATATGTTAAACTCAGCAAATATCTCTCTATCTATAGAACTCAATGTTTTATATTTACTCAATATATATCAGTTTTAGTAATACTGACAAATGTACATGAAACATTAAATAGCAATATATATATCAATATTTATATCAGTGAAAACAATTTAAGTAATCAGGGCAGAACAATTATGGCAGAATTATGACCTCCTCCACATTCTTCTTGGAAACTTCACCCATCAATCACTTAGAAAACCAACAAAACATTTATTTATTCAACCTTCGAGTGTTCACACTTTTTATGTGTTTAAGCGGTACTTTGAATGTTCACAGTGCTATCTTTAGAGCCATTGCCTTTACACTGTTAGAAATAAAGGTTCTGTTCGGGTACATTTTTCGTTCATCAAGGTACAAACAGTGTAAACGTTCCCTCAAAGGTACAACAGTGGTTTTAAGGTTCAACTGTGAACCTTAAATAAGTTTTTCCAGGTGAAAAGTTCGTATTTGTACCTTTTCATAACTGAATGTTTTAAAACAGAACAGTAAAATAAAAGCCTGGAGACGAGACGGGGTGTGTGGAGTCAGTACAGCTTAGAACATATCATTTCAGTGGATTATGGTTCAGTTATGTTCCCTGACTAAAGGTACTGAGATGTACCCTTGAGGGTTCCACCCCAGTGACAAGAGGAACTGCCCCAGTGACAGTTTAGTACCTTTATTTCTGAGAGTGCGCTTCATCAACACAACACAGCTGACTCAGTTACACTCATTTGTTTGGAAGCTGCATGAATTAAGAAGTTGCACTGCGGTCAGTTCTGTGGGGAATTTGACCAGCTACTTTTAACTGACCTCTTTTTTACTGCTATTTAATGTGAGGTGTTTCATGTTTCATAGACCTACACTCTGTCTATGTTATGCTGCAGTAACTTTTACTTCAGTGCAGTTTTACACCCCTCTACACACACACACACACACACACACACACACACACACAACACACACACACACACACACACACACACACACACACACACTCGCTCTCCCTCTCTGCTCAGACAGACGGAGGGGGAGAAACGCGCTCCAAGCAGAGGAGTGAGCACAGCTGCTGGAGTAGAGAGTAAAGCGACTCGCACACGCGCGCGCGCACACGCCCACCTTTCAGAAAGTTGTGGCGAGAGAATGGCGCTGGGGCGCGATGCTCCGCGCGCTTCTCCAGCGCGCCACATTTGAGCCCTTCAGCTTCTTCATCACCTTGATCATCATCATCATCCTCATCTTCGCGGGTCAGTCCGCTCTCTGCGCGCGGCCAGCACCGACCTGGGCCAGCACATTCACAGCGCGAGCGAGAGAGGGAGAGCGAGAAGGAGCGCGAGGATCTTTGCTCGCCATGATCGCGCGCTCTGCGCTCCGGTGCCTGCTGCTCTGCGCGCTTTTCCCTCTGCGAGCGGCGCGAGACTCACCGAGACAGTGCGGCAAACCCAGCACGGTAAGCCGAGCGAAAACTCTGCTGCAACTTTACTGCACTAAAACTGCAGCTTTACTTACTGCACTGAAGCTGCAGCTTTACTGCAACTTTACTGCACTAAAACTATAGCTTTACTGCAACTTTACTGCACTAAAACTATAGCTTTACTGCAACTTTACTGCACTAAAACTATAGCTTTACTGCAACTTTACTGCCCTCAAACTGCAGCGTTACTGCAACTTTACTGCACTGAAACAGAAGCTTTACTGCAACTTTACTTCATTGAAACTGCTGCTTTACTGCAACTTTACTGCACTTTACTGAAACTAAGCATGACACGCTGAATTAAAGCTGTACTGAACATGTGCGGCACTGATGTTGTACCTTTACTGCACCTTAACTCAATCTCTGCTGCAGCTCACTGCACCTTCACTGCACTTTTCTTAAACTTCACTGCATCTTTACTGCACTTGTACTAAACTGTACTGCACCTTTACTGAATTTTATTGCACTTTTGCTGCACTTTATTAAACTTTATTGCCTCTACTACACTTTACTGCACACTTACTGGACTTTACTGCACATCTTTACTCTTCCTGCGCTTTTCTGTAACTTTTCTGCACTTGTAATGTATCTTATCTGCACCTGTACTGCACTGAGACCTCTACCAAACCTCTACTGCAGCTTTACTGCATTTATGCCGCACCTTTACTGCACCCCTAATGCCCTACTGCTGAACCTCTACTGCACCTTTACTGCTCTGCACTCCGTCTGACCTCATCCAGCCCTCCGTGGTCGCCGTGGTTAGAGTGGTCAGTGTGTCTGGATCAGTTTGGTGTTGGTGCTCAGTTGGCCTGGTCTCCAGTGATAATCGGAGGAATCAGAGCTCGTGTTCAGATTTATTGTTGTATTTAAAGTGAGAATCAGGCCGGACTGTCAGTGTCTGTTGGTGTAGTTCTGCTGCTGGAGTACTGCCGCGTCTCTGCTCTCATCTCACAACTATAAACGCGCCCTGAAAGAACGAGGAGCAGTAATTAAGCCGCTAATGCAGTGTATAAGAAAAAGTAGATATAATAACAACAATAATAATCATCGTTATTTATTATAATCAAAGATTATTCATCACCATAATTAATACTTATTTTAATACAGTAATATAAATAAGTACTGTTTGTAAATATTTTTTTAATTATCAGAAATCTTGAATAGAACTAAATTACATGTTTAATTAAAAACAAGAATGTATTCATTATATATACATACATCTATATATATATATATATATATATATATATATATATATATATATATATATATATATATATTCTAATATTTAGAACTACCGATTTACTGTTGTAATGATATATAAATTATAGAATAAATAGGTGTAGTAATTTAAAATGACTAAAATTCTATATTAATTATATATTTAATTGTTATTATTGTTATTACAATTATTGTTAATAATGACATGCAGTTACAGCGATAAGGATAAAAGAACCCCCCCCCTCTCTCTCTCTCTCTCTCTCTCTCTCTCTCTGCACACTGATAAAGTTAAAAATCTCTATCTCTCTTATTTCCCGTCTTTCAGCCCTGCTGGATTTTTTAAACACTTTTAAACACTTTTAAATGTCTCATTAAAACGAATCTGATGGTGAAAGTTTGTAACTCAATTCCTAATTTATGAATGGACACATGTTTTTCATTATGATAAAACTGAATGGAACATTTAAGAGTGAGATGCACAAATGTAAAAACTTTCATACCTAAAAAAAAGAAAAGGGTGAATATTTTTCAAACAATGAACGTTTTTGATGTTTAATTAATGTACAGACAGTATTAGCGCCGTGGTTCTGTGATCGCTGGAACAGAGGAGGAAATGTGTCAAATGCAAATCAGCCACAGGTTGGAGAAAATATGTGTTTAGAAACGCATAGAAATATAAAGCCAGAAAGCTGTTAAAGAAATCGGGACTTTAATTTTGTAGTCATTTAAACCGCTCGGCCACTCACTTTATTACGGTGGTGATCTGAAGCTCGTGCTGTCCTGCTGGGTTTATTCATCAGCGCGCGGGCTGCGAGCTTTAGTGTGCAGAAACCTTTAGTGACTGTATGAAACTACGTCACTGTTAAATTCGGCTGATCAGCCGTTACAGTGTAAAGTTAAATGGGGAGAGAGAGAGAGAGAGAGAGAGAGAGAGAGAGGCAGCGCTGTGATCTGGAAACGATGCAGTGAGATTAAATAAACGCACCCCTCCAGTGTGTTTTAATGACGCCGAGGGCTTTTTTACTGACCGTACTTCACCGTCGGCACGCGCGCAGGAAACATCACGTACCGACTTCAACATTTAGCAGTCAAACAGAGCACTGCTGGGTTTGAGTCTGGGTTTGATTCTGAAGCCACACTGCAGTGAAAGTGCTGTTAGCTGCTCAGGTGGCGGGAAAAGTGCATTTTCAAACAACAACAATCGCTGCTCTGATACTACTGAGAGGTGAACTCAGCTGCGGCTGTTCTGTTGTGTACTTTCGCTATTCTCCCCCCGCGGAGCCCCTAAAGGTGACATGGTGATTATTTCTAATAAGACGTGGCCGCCATGAGTTAATATATAGAGGCCACGTGGCCACGATAAACTTAACTCGTGGCCTTAATATGTGGCCTCAGTACATTAACTCTGGCTTCAATATTTTAATTCATGGCCATGAGAAACATAACTCGTGGTCTAAATATATTAACTTGTGGCCTCTATATCAACTCGTGGCCTCAATATAGTCATTTGTGGCCTCAATATATTCATTTGTGGCATCAATATGTTAACTTGTGGCCTCAGTATTACAGTGGCGATCTCATGCTTGTACATTTTGTGGCCTCAATATATTAATTTGTGGCCTCAATATATTAACTTGTCACCTCATAGTAATTTGTGACATAAGTATATTAATTTGTGGCATCAATATATTTACTTGTGGCATCAGTATAGTAATTTGTGGCATCAATATATTAATTTGTGGCCTCAATATATTAACCCCTGGCCTCAGTATATTCATTTGTGGTCTCAGTATAGTAATTTGAGGCCTTAATGTATTCATTTGTGGCCTCAATATATTAACTCATGGCCTCAGCATATTATTTTGTGGCCTCCATATATTAATTCATAGCCAGGCCTTAATAAAATAATTGCCATGTCGCCTTAGGGGCCAACACTGCCCTTTTTGCTAAAGCTCCAAAGTGAGAGGAGTGAACAGCAGTCGAGCTGAACAGGAGCTGAACCAACATAACAGAGTGAAATTAAGCTTTATGAAAAGGAATAATGGCCACATGAGAAGAACCAAAGTGGGACTGGGGAAAAGGCAGATTACAGGGAATTCAATGGATTTTTAAAAAAATGTGTGTATAATTAAATGGTTAAGATGTAAACAGAGTCATTCAGAGTGGTTTGGTGTGAAACGCTCTGTTCTAGAGAAACTTACCGAGTCAGAATTGTTCACAGTGGTGGTGATAGGAACCAGACGTCCACCTCTAAAAGCTCCCTCACAGAAAGTTACTGTAGTTTTAATCCACACTGTAAAAAATGAAAAGTCTGCCCAACTTAACATTAGTAGTTAATGGTGACTTGGGACACCTAATTTGAAAATTCTGTGTCCAATAATATTAAATACACTCTACATAAAAAAAAACAAAAAACAAACAAAAACCCCAAAACAGTTCATTGAACATCAGATAATTAGTGTAAGTAACAGAATGTAATATACTGATTGTTGTTTTGTTAATTTACTATTTGTTGTTCAATTAATTAAAAAATTTAGGTCAGGCACCAATAAATGTTAAATTGCAAAACAGTGATATTATTTTTTTATTTCTATGTTTAACTAACTAAAAACAGCATTTTAAACCACTATTTTTCAATTCTTTATAACAACAACAACAATAGCAAAAAATGCTACATGGGTCATCAAACCTGGATTTTTTATAGTGTATTTTTAAAGTCCATTCATTGTGGAGATGTACACGTAGGGCATTGTAAGGAAAAATGTTCCCCCCAATTTTTTATTCAATTATTACAATTTTTTTTTATTGCAAAATCAGAATACCTTTAAATTAAATACCAAATTCTCTTTAGAACTACAGAGAAATTTCTTAGTACATCCAGCATCTCTCAGCATAAGAACTGAAGTTTGTTAGACTCTATTCCTCTCCTTTTGGATCCTTTTTTGGAAATGATGCATGGCCACGCCTTACTAAAGCATGAGAACAAGATCCTGTTGCGTGGCCACAATTTGGTAAGGCATGAGAATGAGATAATTAAGTCGTGGCTACCACTTAGTAAGGAGTGGGAACAAGATCATGCCATACTAAGTCATGGCCACACATTAGGATCTCGTTCCCATGCCTTACTAAGTTGTGGCCATGCATTAGGATCTCGTTCCCATGCCTTACTAAGTTGTGGCCATGGCTTAATTATCTTGTTTCCATTCCATAGTAAGTCATGGCCATCCATTAGGATCTCATTCCCACAACTTAATTATCTTGTTACCATGCCATACTAAGTAGTGGCCACGCATTTTTTTTTATTTATACAGGATATCACAGGCGGGGCTCTGTAGGGGTGTTCTAACTTTTGCACATGGCTGTATTTCCTGCTCCACTCAGGCCGTTTGGTTCACCTTCTTCTTCTGTCTTCTCAGCAGAAAGAGATGAACTCCTTCCTGTGGACGGTGAAGCGTCCACCCCCTCAGCCCCCCTCTTACCTGTTCGGGACCATCCACGTCCCGTACACTCGAGTGTGGGACTACATCCCTGATAGCTCCAAACAGGCCTTCCAGATCAGCTCCAGCGTCTTCTTCGAGCTGGACCTCACCGACCCTCTGACCATCTCCAAACTCACCAGCTGCCAGCTGCTGCCGAACGGCGAGAGCCTGCAGAGTCTGCTACCGCGAGACCTTTACCGGCGGCTAAAGCGCCACCTGGAGTACGTTAAGCACATGATGCCGTTCTGGATGACGGCGGACCAGCGAGGCCGCGGCCTGTACGCTGATTACCTCTTCAACGCCATCGCTGGGAACTGGGAGCGGAAACGGCCTGTGTGGGTGATGCTGATGGTCAATTCACTAACAGAGTCCGACATCCGGACGCGGGGAACGCCCGTACTGGACCTGTTCCTCGCGCAGGAGGCCGAGCGTCTGGGGAAGCAGACCGGAGCCGTGGAGAATGTGGAGGAGCAGTGCCACCCCCTCAATGGACTCAACTTCTCCCAGGTCAGAGCCTGTATTATTGTATATGTGTGTGTTTGGTTTTTGTTCATTACTTTGAAGGAAAACCACAGAAGAACTAACCTACAGGACCACAGGACTGTAAAGTGTTTTTATGAAAGCTCCATGTTCCTTTTTTAAAAACTAAAAGAGCAGAACCATGTTTTTTTGGTTCCTGAAGGTACAATTACACATAAAGTTTTATTTCATATAGACTCTTGCATATCACTGCTGTCGGAACAAAACCTCAAATCTCCATTTTTGTCATTTTTCAGTTTTTGGCATAATTTGAAAATGCCTGTTGATTTTATGAAGAATGGACTAAAAGAAATGACCCTTAATTACTCAGAAAAACGCCTGGTTCCACTGACTTACATTAACTGTAAAGTGGTTTTTCCTTCTTCTGTAAAGTTGCCATTTAGAGATACAAAGTTTTGTTCCAACAACAGCAATATGTATATTTTACATCAGACAATTTTATTACAAAGAAGTATTTACATGTGTAAAATAAATATGGGACATATTGCATATAGATACTAACATATATAATAAATATGGGGTATATTATCAATATAGTTACTTAAATATACATAATACATATAAGCATTCTTTTATTGTTGTATACAACCATTGATGGTTCTTTAGTAAAGAAAATGGTTCTATATAGAACGGTGAACACGTAAAGAACTCTTTGCATGATTAAATGGTTCTTTGCATCATGAAAGGGTTCTTCGGATTGATTGAAAATGTGTATGAATATGCTACAGGTGGTTCTATATAGAACCTTTTTGAAAAAGCATTCGGTATAGCACCAAAAAGGGTTCTTATATTGTTACAAGCTTGGCATTGTAACAAAAGAACAATCCTTTTGGGTGCTAAAAAGGTTCTATATAGAACCATCCACAGCACATTTTCCAACAGTCTGAAGAACCTTTTCATGATGCAAAGAGCCCTTTAATTATGCAAAGGGTTCTTTGAGTGTTCATGGTTCTATATAGAAGGTAATTTTCTTTACTAAAGAACCCTTGAAGAACCATCTTTTCAAGAGTGTAGGTGCTTGTTTTTTTTACATATATATATATAACACATGAACTATATATTATTATTACATATAGGAATTACATATATAATATATATTTCATTATATGTGGGTACTTATATATAGTGTAACTTATATACAGGACATATTGTTACATACAGGTATTTACACATAAATAGTACATATAGGCACTTGCATATATGCAAATATATATATATATATATCTCACTGTTGTTGAAAGAAAACCTTGTATCTCCAAAATGGTAATTTTATAGGAAAAGGAAAAAACCTTCTTTACTTTTAATGTAAACCTACCTCACTTAATGTAAGTCTATGGAACCAGACTTTTTTCCAAGTAATTGTGGGCCAATTCTTTTGGTCCATTCATGAAATTTACACACAATAGGTGTTTTCACATTATATCAAAAACTAAAAAATGCCACAATTCAAATCTTCACTCTCATAATTTGCATAACATACAAATTAGCATCATAGTCCTTACTGAATTATAAGTCCTAAGATTAATAACTGAATGATGTGACCATAATAGAGTCAGTGACTGATATTTTGAATTGTAGCTCATTGTGCTGTATCTGTAGTTCCTTCCTGCATGTTTCTTGTGAGATTTATAAAAATGATACATAAACTAAGCCAGCGTGATCCTGTTACACCGTTTGGGGAGCGTTTCAGCCTCCCACACCCTCAAGAAATCATGTACAATTACTTTAAAACTGTGCATAAGGCGTATCATATGACATTCTAATGCCAGCTGTGTTGGATGTGCAGTTTTATGTGTACTTTGCTGATTTGTCCAGTGATGGTGTTCCTAGGAGAGGGTGGGGGACAAAAGTAGTTGTGGACTAAGGATATTTTCTAGAAAAATAAGCAGGGGGGTTATTCCATATAGCAGGATAGTACTGATCAAGCTGGATACATTAAGCCCAAACTGAAGGTCATTTAACTGGAACTGCCCTTACCTCCTGTCCTCTCCTGTAGGACAGACTTTAGCTTAAATGATCTAGATAACTGAAACATTCCTGCTTTGTGAAATCCCCCCAGGGCAAAAATGATCCACATGTCAGGCACAGGATGAGAGTGGTGTGTTGCTGAATTGACTGATAGATCTGGGTTGAGGTGAATGATGGTTTAAATGGAAGCATCATGCTAGCGGATGAGCCTCGCTGTGACTAGCCCAGATATCCCCCCATTCCTTATCCCCCTGCTGCCTGCGCACTGTAACCTTACACTGAAAGATGGACCAGATAACCTAATTACTTGACGACATAAACATGGCGAGTATCTGTCTTTAATTTCTCTGCCTGCGGGGCGGTATGGAGGGTCTATATATAAAACGCTGCTCTGGAGAGGTCAGGAGCAAGCTTAGCGAGGAAGCTGTGCCTGTGTCTCAATTCACACGCTATGCACTACATTCTTACACTGCACTGTTCGCCATTGCATTGACTTTTGATGAGAGGTGCTCAAATTGATCACTAACAGTGGATGTTTTGTGCTAAACTGAAGTGGTACCTCATGCAATTGAATCCCAGCAAGGTTAGCAGCTAGCTAACATCACTTAGATACTGAAGATATCCAACTCACATTTGTAATCCTTAACCCTCTATTACACAATGTTGCCTCAGGGCAACAAACTCATTTTCCTCACTTTACAATAGCATTATACATATTTAAAGGCAATAATAGGGTTAACAATAAAGGGAGGAGCATGTGCTTGGTCATAGTGTCTCTAAGACACATTTAAACCTCTTTTTTAACATTCAGTTGAACTCATGCATTTTTTTTTGTTCTGAGAATTTGCAGAAATATGTTTGTTGCCTAGAAGCAACACTGTGGAGGAATGGATTTAGCCAGTCACAAGTCAGGTCTCACCACTTCAGGGAACACGGCTCTGTATCATTTCTTCCCATCATCTCACAATGTTGCCTCAGGGCAACATAGTCCAAAAGGAACCCTGCACACATTTGTTTTTAATGTTTTTGAATTTAATAATCAGGACTGATTAATAATATGCATTAGATATAATTTTATAATTATATAATTTAATAATCAAGCACCATTTCATGCAAGAAAGTGAAGTTTTTAAATTGCTCTCATAATGCGTGCAGTAGAGGGATAATTTTGAAAACTCTCTAATCTCCCTGATGGTTCCTTCTCTTTTGCTAGGTATGGCAGCCTCTGGCTACTGAATGCAAACAGTGTGTACACTTCTTTTTTAGGGGTTTTAGTACATCATCTAGTACTAGTGGTCTTCACAGGCATGCAGCCCAAATGACTCATATCTCATCTTTGAGACCTGACCTGTCCAGGCCTGACTTCGCCCCATATCCACTTTAAGGGTAGCCTGTCCACTTCCTATTTCGCTCATTATGAGAGAATGAGGCATGAATGGAGCTCAACAGCTAAACACGGGAAATTAAACATGTTTCTAGCTATTTCTGCTGGATGTTCCTTTAATTGTGGAAAGGATGTATTCCATTAAAACATCTAAGAAAAACCTGCCAATTGAGAGCTGATTGGTTGTCATTACTGCTACCAAGAGCTGATTGGTTGGAGAGCTGATCATCTCATTGGCTGGGTAAAGTGGTTCACGCTCACTCACTTCATGAATGTACATGAGGCGCTGCTAGAAAGTCCTATAACTGGAGTTCGAAAGTGCTCAAAAGTACAACAGCAGTGAAATGTGCATTGTGCATTTTTCTGTATAAAAGTGATTAAGCATTTACAAGCTATACTTTTACACAGAAGCACCACAGGAACCCACTAATTTTGGACTTGCTCAGGAGCGCCCTCTAGTGTATGACAATCAGACATTATTGACTGGCAGTTCTCCTCACTGTTAGTACTCCTAAATTTGAAACCCAAAGCTGATCAAATCCACTCTAACACACTAGCGTATATAATGTATTATTGCAGATGTGGTTTTAGGCAGCAATCCTGAACACAAGTATAGATCATACTAAAGTCAATTCAAGATTTTTTTGGTATGTTGGTAGCCATGCAAGCTCTCCCATTGGTTAGGACTTTAGGAGCTGAACAGAAGGCCTAAAATGTCAAAATAACCACTAACATAATTAGAAAGTGGCTTCAACCAAGTCATGTTTTGATTTTGAATGGATGGAACCAATTTTGTGAGAAAAAAATGTCACTGTCATCCTTCTGGGAGTTCTAGATATGTCACTGATTGAGAATATGAGCTGTAGCCTGACTAATGTGTTTCAGTCGGATGTTAGAAATGAAAAACAGTGGCAGTTTCTTCAACTCTCTTTGCTACGTCATTGTAAAACAAATATATTTATTAGCGTGTGCTAAAAGTTTCAAATAAACCATTGAACATGTTTTACAAGCTTTGAATGCCTCTGTTTAATCTAGAACGGCCAAAAATTGTTCATGTGAAACGCCGTTAGCTTAGCGCTAACATGCTACTAGGATTCTAGCAGAAATTAACATTCCTGTAGTGGTGTTTTTGGCTGAATTTTGACATTTGTGATCCCAACTGAAGGCTCTAGTAATCATGATCTGCTTTTGCATTTGAATCATTTTTAAACAACTATAAACTATTTTATATGGTGTCATTAAATTGCCCTTCTCAATGTGAACACATTAATCGCACTGAAATTGGCTAATAGAGTAGGAAAGCACTCGATTTGGGACACAGCATGTGATTTGGCCTCAGCAGGGCTCTCTCAGGAGCCCCCCAGGAACGGAGAGGATGATCTATCTCGTGATTTATGCTCATATGTGCTTACTGGTGTAAAACATCTCGACTGGTTGACACACACATACGCAGCAACACTCTCGCTGCAACCGAATCTGCTAGGCCGGACCCCCTATGTGGCAGGCAGTGGGGCTCCTGTGCTAATTTGAGCGGCTGCAGGGGCCACGCAGACTCTCGCCTTTCATCAGAGCCTCCTAACTATGCTGTCAAAGTAGCACATGCCTGCCAGGCCCT